AAGTTCTACAACTTTCATGCTATGAGCGGAGAGAGATTCGAAGTATAACAATGTCGTAATTGAGCATGAAGTTCATGCACGTGCTCAGCCAATTGTCTACGCGAGATTAGAAGGGTGATCAAGAAGCCGACTTGAAGATCAAGTTATCTAATTTATTTATGCACGTTTTTAATTTAGTATTTATTATGTTTTTATTATTTAAGAGTCTTTTATAGTTAGGATTTGCTTATTTACAAGTTTCCTTATTATAGTTTAGGTAGGAGTCATTTTCCTTGTGAGAATGGAGTCTTTTTAGGACTTATAAATACGTTGCCAATTTGGCTTATTTTAATGGACGAATTTTGATGATTTAATTGAGAATATTCTCTATGGTTCTTTAAGGACTTTTCGAACATTTCGGTGGATTCCGTTTGTTCACCTCGACTTATCAATCGATCTTTCACAATCGATTGTGGCGTCTTCGCATACCAAGGTTATTGCCTCTTTATAGGCAACGGGTCACGGTTCCACCCTTTGAATCTTTGTTTTTGGATGTCTTCGATCTTGCTTCCGCGTAAGGTATTGGGTCCCGTAACAAGTTCTACGGGGTTCGTATCAGATGACCTAACTAAATTTACATCTGTTAAAATAACATTTTGTTAGTATTGTTGATGCGTGTGCCAAGATGGGTTCTACTTTAAGGCCTCGTTTGGTTGGCAAGATAAGATTGAATAATATAATGAAATTCAATTATTTTATTGAAGTCCGCGACGTTCAACAAAAAAAACTCACTAGAATGCAAGATAAGCCAAGATAAGGCAATATAAACCATGATTATATAATTTTGGCGAGTCGACCCGACAATTTATTAGGGATACCAAACATCAAATTAAGTCTAACTATTTAGTTAAACATAGTTTATCTTAGCAACCAAACAGGTCCTAAAATTATGGGATAATGTTTGCTTTGATGAATGCCCTGTGTTTTTTAACAACCTGTTGGTTAATGATCTTTTTTGTAAATACTCTCGATGTGCAACTAATTAAAGATTTTCTAATCGTTCTCATTTGCTGAAATGATAATATTCTCTCTATTCTGCAATATATGTTTTTTTTAAGAATTTTTCTGGTCCATATTATCTGTCAATTTATAATTTCAATTCTGCATTAATTACATATTTTTTCAATTATGTATTTATTAACTCTCCAACACTCTTTCTGCGGGTTATTTCTATGCTACACCTGGTGAAGGTTATACCGGGTGATTTTTTACCGTTAATCTACACACACCAATGTGGGTGTGTGTGTGTTTGTGTGTATATGAATGGTAAAGATCTACCCGGTATATTTCACTCGGTGTAGCATAGTATAAGCCATTTCTGCGTTAATTAGTAAACAAGGATATTTTAAGCTATCTATAGTTATTTTTCTAAAATCAGACATATTTATTGAGATTGTTAAGTCTCGTGCCAAGGTGATCAAAAAACGACACATTTAGAACGGAGGCGTATATGATATTTTAATTCATAAAAATTAGAAATATCACTTAAAATAAGAAATAGAGAGAGTATTGATTATACTACTCAAATAACATCAAAATTTTAAATTTTCAAATATCATTATCTTTTAATTCATAAAGAAAACTCAAGCCTAAATTAGACTGATTTAACTAGTCATCTGCATAAAATGTATTCATTAAATCCTAAGGATATTCATAGACATCTCATCTACAAATATCTTTAGGGCGAAAAGAATTGGGTGTCTTTTATGAGTGGATTCCGATCCGATCCGATCCATCCGATCTCCACCCCTAGGTATATATATTGTAAGGTCAACTTTTAGAAAAGAAAAAAAATTACCGTCATCCCTCTGAAATCTATTACAGTTGGTACTATACAAACAAATAATGATACTATAAGCTTCTACGAGAAATATCAAGTATACTCAGGGTGCATTTGGATGGAAGGATTTGGGGAAGGGATTTCAAATCCATAATAACAAATCCCTTGGACTTGTTTGGATTGAGGGATTTGGGGATGGATTTCAAATCCACACCCCTCCTTTTTAATTATGTTTTGAGCAATTGAGGTGGATTTCAAATGACTCCAAAATTGGAGTCATTTCAAATCCCTTCCCCAAATCCTTCCATCCAAACGCACTCTCAATTTATTTTCAATTCTCATATTCCGATCCAAAAAACTGGGAAACAATATTAAAAATTCAGGATTTCAGAATGCCGAATGAAAATTATTGTTTCAAAATTAAATATTTGAATAAGTTATGCGGGATTCGAAAATTGTGATCCAATTCTTACCACTGATATTACGTGATCACTAACCTGAAAATTCATCCATAACTAAATAAAGTACAGTAATTAAACATATGAGATGAAGTAATACTGGGTTTTATATATTTTTCGCAGATCAGGTATCGGGTTGAGTAAATCCGCCCTAGAAGTGACCCGTTGACATCCCTTACTACAACTAGCCACTAGGCACAACTTAAATTGACAAATTAAAACCTCTTACTATATTTCAAGAGTCAAAAGTTAGTAAATTAATAGACTTATGAATCGGAGAAATATATATTGCTGAAAAGTGTATGCAATTTGCAGTTATATATGAATCCCCTTTTTGCCTTTTTCTTTCATATATATTTAATTAAAATACTATCCGTACCAGTTGACCCTGTTATTTAATAGGTTTGAGCCATTTTTTGCACACTCTAATATTAATTTTTATTTAATTTGTATTATATTATACATATTTTAATGTGTGTGTGTGTGTATATATATATATATATATATATATATATATATATATATATATATATATATATATATATATATATATATATATATATATATTTTATATTTTAATATTTTTGGTAATGAAGGAAACTTACATCCAATCGTACAAATGCACTAAACCTAGACTATCGTATAATAGCTTGCAAACCATAATAGAGGCGTAAATCACACTAGGTTAACTATGTGTGACAGGCTTCATCTAGCGCCGTTGGCAAGGGGATTCGAATTTGAGTTAATTGACACTTGCTCACTTGCTTCAACCATAATAGAGACGTAAACCACACTAGGTTAACTATGTGTGACAAGCTCTATCTAGCGACCGTTGGCGATGGGATTCGAATCTGAGTCAATTGATACGTGCTCACTTACTTCAACTCAGTGGCGGAGCTAGCATAGGGGCAGAGGGGGCCATAGCCCCCCCAACAATTCTCGAATCCCTATTTCTATGTAATGGTTTAAAAAAATCGTGAATGTTAAAAATTTTAATGTATTAGGCCCCTGCAAACTTAATATCCTAGCTCCGCTAGTGCTTCAACCGATAGACCTTCCCTTACAGGACTCTGTATTTCATTATTTCAAAGATGAGAGGTGGAGAGACTTGAATGTTAATCGCAAATTGGCCTGGCCAAGTCTGGCGTTCGTGTCGGAGGTCAACTTCAATTTCGACCAAGTCAAGATTTCACTGTAAACATATTGAATTAAATTATTTAAAAAGTCAAGAATGGCGTGACAACTGACAAGTAATAATCGAGTCTAGTATTACCAATGTAAATACAACATTAACAAAGTAAAAATAAGGAGACTGAATATTTATATCGAAACAAAATTAAAATATAATAAATCAAAATAGAAATAAAATAAAATAAGGACTATGTTTGGAGACTGAATCAAATCTACAGTACATACATATAATAAGGTGAAGAATAAATGTAAACAAGTGATGACTAAGGATTTGCGAGTGCGACACAGGCAACCCCACCCCCACCCCGGCCCCCCAATATGCATGAAGTCATTTCAAAAAGTCAACCTTCACACACATACACACACAGCGTGTGTGTTTTCTCTATTTGAAATTGACAAAACACAAACAATTAGCATGCATTATTCATATTTTTGGACTGCATGATCAGTACTACAAATGTAATTGACAACGAAATTCATTCATGAATGTATACATTAAACTAGGGGTCTGCATTCGATAAAATCGTATCGAATTGAACTATTCGAAAACTTGTGGTTCCTATTCGGTTCGTTACGGTTTTTTACCGAATTAATTCGATTTTTTTGGTTTGGTACTTGTAACATTGAAAATATATTTTCTTCTTTTGAAAAAAGTAAAAACAATATTTAAACCAATTAATTCTTGAACTTGACATTCAAATTTCAATATTATGTCCTGAAAAAATAATTATCAGTAGAGGCTAATTTATAAATAATGAAAAAAAATATCAGTCCTATAAGTATTGTATGTTATAAAGCTTAAAGAATTTAAAATAAATGAAACAAATAAATACTCCATTCTTTCCATTTTATTTGTCTTTCTAGAGGAAAAAAAAATTCAAAATAGTTGTCACTTTAGATTTTTATTAAAGCATTTATTGTATTTTTCTCATATTTGTCCTTACTATTCGTAATAAAATTAGGTGAAGCAATTAATAAAAGTGGCATTTAAGTCATATTATTATGATATTCCAGAATCCATGCACATTTATTAGTTTTCTTAATACTTGTGCATCAACTCAAAATGACAAATATAACGAGAAGGAGAGAGTATATATATTAAATATTTTGGTATTCGGTATTTTGGTATTCGGTACCGTACCGAATACCGAAATTAAAAAAATTACCAAATACCAAACCAAATTTTCGGTTCGGTTGATTTACCGACAGGGTGAACAGCCGTGCATTAAACATTTAAGGCTCAAAAGTTTTCCCTTTTTTTTTTCTAAAGCCAAGCACAATGATAGAAATTTGGTGTGAAATACACGTGCACAACTGAATGTTGGACGATTTTTGTGCAAAGAGAAAAAAAAAAAAAAAAAAAAAAAAACCTGTTAAATGTTTTACACAATAAAAATATAGCAAATGGGGTTTTAATTAGTACAAGTTCTCATAAACAAATTGTGGTTTTTATGCGTTTACCCAAATTTTGTAAGATATTTTGATTTTTGAGGATTATTAAATAATTAATTGTATAATAAGAGTAGACTTTATAGAAAGTCAACACCCCCTAATAACCAAAAATCGTATGCATGTCCCTACTAATAACCCCCTAGTCATACATAAACAACAAATTGTCAACGGTTTTGATTGCATGTAAAAACCAGTACTATTAGGAATTTAGAATATATAAATCTAGAAATTCAAAAACCATTTTCCCCCAAAACCAGCCACTGTTAAGGTTACACGTGTCTCTCGCGCCTTGGTTCCTCCTATAAATACACCCTTTCATTCTTTCCTTAATTCCCCACAACACCATCTCATAATTAATTCTCCCCTATTTTCTCTTTTAATTCTTATAAGAGAATTTCACGTGACAAATAATTTTTTTGCAATAGTATTTATTTATTTATTTTAATCTCCTTTGTCCAATTTGCATGTGCTGGAGTATGTCTCCTTCATTAATGGCAATGTCGACAGAGCAACAAAATACTTATAACCAATCACTGGAGACCATGTACCAGAAAGGCGTCAAGAACATGTACGACAACGGGATCGAACACGTCCCCGTAAAGTACATACTCCCCGCCGCCGAGCGCCCGAACGCCAACGCCGCCAACTCCGTGCCCGAGGTCAATCTTGAGCTTCCCGTGATCGACCTGGCCGAGTTGCAAGGTCCAAACCGGTCGCAAGTCCTCGAATCTCTCGCCTACGCCTGCCAGAACTTTGGATTTTTCCAGGTGAGAAAAAATTAATTAATAATGTTATTCATTGTATAATTTGATGTGAACATATAAGCTTAATTATTGGAATTAATTGATTGATCTGCAGCTAGTGAACCACGGCATTTCCGAGGAGGTCACGAGCAATATGGTGGACGTGGGTAAAAGATTCTTCGAGATGCCATTCGCCGAGAGAGAGAAGTATATGTCGGCGGATATGAGCTCGCCGGTAAGATATGGGACGAGCTTCAATCAGACAAACGACGGTGTTTTTTGCTGGAGGGATTTTCTCAAATTGGTCTGTCACCCTCTTCCCGATGTCCTCCCTCTTTGGCCCACTTCCCCACTCGACTTTAGGTAACAAAACTAATTACATATTATTATATCCCATTTCTTTGCTAATTAAGTCAAAGGGGTCGGTCACCTATTCATCTCAAAATTTAACTAAATTTTGATTAGAGGAATAACTAAGAATTTATTATGGCCTAATTGATTGAGTAGGATAGTAAATGTATAATAAATTGAGTTTGTCGCGTAGCGCTGTTCAGTGTTCAGTGCAGTTTACACATCTCGTATGGTTTGAAGTTTATCTGGTTCATATTTATAATTTTTGAAAAGAATATATTATTAGTTAATATGAATATTATATTGTGAAAAAAACAGGCAATTGGGAGTAACATATGCAAAAGAAACAAGAAGTTTGTTCATGATGGTGGTGGAGGCCATACTAGAGAGCCTAGGGCTAAAGACCGACACAGACAAGAAGACAGAAAAATATGAAGATGTTGATGAGGTTGTAGGAATAAAAAATGAAATAGAGAATGGCAGCCAGCTAATGGTTGTCAATTGCTACCCGGCATGCCCGCAACCCGATTTGACGCTCGGAATGCCGCCTCATTCCGATTACGGTTTCCTCACTCTACTCCTTCAAGACGACGTCAAGGGCTTGCAGATCCAGCACCGGAATAAATGGGTCACCGTTCAGCCCATACCCGGTTCCTTCGTCGTCAATGTTGGTGACCACCTCGAGGTATGAATAATTAATATAAAGTCATCTAATTACGAAAAAATCAATCATGTTTGGGTAATTACAATCAGTCCTCTTAACATTTTTTAAACAAGATTATGTGGAATATTCTCCAGTTTGTACCCGTTTTATCCCATTCGAGCTCCACATTTTTGAAACAATATGATCATAAGATGTGTCCATTGGCGTGTAAATATCAGATTATTGTGGTGCATCAGAAACTGCATTTTTTTTACAAAACGAGTACAAACTAGAGAACATTCCACATAATCTAGAAGACTCTGTTGATTTGGCACCATATATAAGAATGGACGTATAAGAAGATTCATTGTTGAAGGTGGCTGTAATTACCCAAACATAGAATTTTTTTCGTAATTTGACCTTACCTCAGGGTGTGACCGTAATTTACACACAAATAAATATGCTTCTAGTATTTTACTAATTAAGTAGGTTTTCTTTTTCCTTTTTTTTTTCATTCTTTTTGTATACTTTGTAATAATGAATTGATTTGTTTTGAGCAGATATTCAGCAACGGAAGGTACAAGAGTGTGTTGCATAGAGTACTAGTGAACTCAACCAAGCATAGGATTTCAGTTGCTTCTTTGCACAGTCTACCTTTTACAAGCACTGTGAGACCATCACCAAAGCTGATTACTCACACAAACCCAAGGCTTTATAAAGACACAAATTTTGCTGATTTTGTTGCCTACCTAAAAACTTGTGATTCCAAGAAGAAAAACTTCCTTGAGTCCAGGAAAATTGAACAAACCCAATAATATAATAAAATAATATAAATATATATAATTAATGAAAAAAAAAAAAAAAAAAAGGATGTGGACTTTTTGCATTTTGACTTTATTATTTTTGTGTTTTTGCTGCGTCATCAATTATGTAGAAATTATTGGTTTGTTGGTGTGTGAAGTGCATGCATCAGTTGACATGCAACGATTACATTAATTAAATGTAGTTAAGAAGTATATAGGGATTATTATACTGTAATTAGAGCCTCCGTGGGGTTGATTTAAATTGTATTTCTTGATGTTTAATATTTATATTGATAATAACAATATATTATATTAATCCAAAGTTATACAAGTTGGAGAATTGTATTTACAAAACATATGATTCAATCTGTTGTTTCATTTTATAACTCGCTGACTTTAGTTTAAACTTTATTTTATTTCTAATTAAAGAGTTAATTATATCCTGCTGGCCCGAGTTCTATCCGGACCGGACCTGCCCCATTAACCGCCCGGACACATGCACCCCGTTGACCGCTTGAACCAGATGACCCACTGATTTATGAGTCGGTTTCGGTTCCTCTGTTCGTAGACCCATAACCTGGAGGACAGACCCGGAAACCCGAATTTTAAATATTGAAAAATGCCCAAAATTGCGTTGTGGAGGTTGAACTTGGGACTTTGAATTTTGTATTTGATTATGAATTATTTTAAGTTTTGAATCTAGGATTTTGACTTTTGAAAAATCTCTCAAAGTTTCAATTATTGTTTTAACCTATAATCAATACTCCCAAACGATCTCCTTTTCATCAACTCACTCTCACAACTTTTATTTTATTCACTTTATTCTCAAAGTCTGAACCGGACTGGAACCGACTGTTTTCGAACCGTTTTAAATCGCCTATACACGGTTCGGTTCCGGTTCCTCCAAAACCGGAACCGGCAACTTGGAATCGGAACCGGAACTAAAGTGAACCATGGTCATGTCTAATGTAGCTGACTATAGTTTAAGGTTAGACCAAATTTTTGACAAGGGGGTAGTTTTGGAATAAGAAAAGTGAGAGGCATCATTAAATTAATGTGCGCAACTCGAATGGAGGACTAAATGGTAAAACTTCTATCTTGATGCTCCAAAATTCAAATTTTCATTCTCAATGGAGGAATTAAATTGGTACTATTTTGATACTTAACTTCCACATCCTTCGGAAAAATGTAATCAAAAAATTAACTACCCAAAAAACCTATCACAAATTGACATGTATCAATTTTAAATATATATATATATATATATATATATATATATATATATATATATATATATATATATATATATATATATATATATA